CAAAAATTTACCGTAACATCTGGACTAGTTTGGAAGTTTTGAATTTTTGTATACAGGTTTGCGCAATTGAAGACCTCTGAACGCATATGGGAGAGTTTAGAAACCATTCAAAAATCAGCGAAAGTTTCCACTCAATTGAATTTTTCCCTATAAACTGGCCAAGGTCTTCTCTAGAAACTTGGCAAATATCAGCTTAATGGCCGGACTATTTTATGTTGTAAAGCCTAATAAACATCACCCGCAAATGCGTTTCTCCCCTAAGATCCTCGAGGCTTTTGGCTATAAATGCGCAAAATGTCAACTTAATATCGGGGCTAATTTAGAAGTTAACGGACATTAAAACAGTCCTGCGCCAAAGARAAACTKTTCMYWGAACGTAATTGGSAAATAAAAACTTTATTGAACGGCTCATAACTRATCSTATTCTTGCACTCTTGTTAACTGAGACTTTTCTGTAATCGCCAAAAAGTCAGTTTTCCTGCTGGTTTCTGAGCTATTCCACCTACCTGCTTATACATTGAGAAAACTGCAGAGTTGGACTCATCAGTGACACAGCGCACATCGCCCTGTTCTAAGGAGACCAGCGAGTCCTTGTAAAGGTGCTTCGATTTTGGAGAGAGACACGATTTCTTGCGGGTTTCCTTCGCAGAAGCTCCACGTTTGGGCTTGGCAGGCTTCCGATCAACTTCTCCATTCCCCATGCCAAACAGCTTCTCCATAAGGAGTTTCTTGTCGCCGTGGTTCAACTGCATGGATCCAATCATCTTCTTCACTTGCTCCGTTCTCAATGTTTGAGTATTGGAGGTGTAATCCTCCAAACCCTTGGGCTTGATGACGGTTACGTCTAGGAGGGCCGATGCGCATTTGTCGGGATTTCTTATAATACTACGAACCTGAAATCACGCAGAATAAGCCATTAGATCTTAGTAGAGGCTGGCTCAGAAAGCTTCAACTTGCTCCGGTTTTACCTCATCATCCAGCTCCACTTCCAAAGAAAGCTCCAGGTTCCTGGATGGAACCGAGCCGATTTTACTAGCATTGGTATAATGGGATTTCTGGCTTCGCACATCATCTTCGCTGCGACTTCCCGATTTACGTTTGAGCATCTTCGATCTTTTTCCGGCGAATCATCCTGAACTCGCCAGGCTGAAATACATTCAGAATTTTGTACGAAGGAATTTCGGTGTCGGTTATGTCAAAAAGTGGCACAATGCCACCAGCAGCCGCATTGTTAGCTCAGACAGGCATGGAAAATGGTTTGACGTCTTTGTAGGAAAAACTCCCGAAAATGTCTGCAATCGTTGGAACTGGCGATGGAAAGTTGCCCAAAAACGTCGCCTCGAAAACCATTGCAAAAGACATCGTTCTTGAGATCGTGGACAACGTCCTGGATACTGTGGACGGCAAGGAAATGGAGCAAATTACAGTGGAAGAGTTCAAGGAGCGGTTTTCTCAGGAGATGGCCTGCAACAAGTCCAAACCAGGAAACTCTTTGATAGGTTCAAATGTCTTTAATCGTGTCTAAACCTGCGCTAAATCTGCTATTCAAGGCACTGGGGACCAGAAGAGCTCGGATGCCTTGAAGACGCCGGAGGCCCTTTTTTCGCATCCGCCGGTAGAGAAGAAGAGCCGACTTACAGACCTGGTGAAAAACTCCAAGCAAGTTCTGGCCAAGATCATGATGAGCGACAGCAAGCTGAAGCTGCCGCAGGAGAAAAAGGAAGATGAGAAAATAGTGGAGGTAGCAGGAAGCAGCAGTTGAAGCCTTTGCACTATCCAGTCTTCCAATTGCAGGTGGTTGAGCTGGATTGCATCCAGCCCTCCGACGTGCCCTTCAAGAGCCGAATCGTCCCCGAAGAAGTCCCGCTGCCTGACACCGATTCCGATGCAACTCCCAGCCCGCCGCACTTTGAGGAGTCTTTGGAGGAAATCGGCCTGGACCCTGCCAAAAATGAGGAGATCCCGCCAGCGGATGGGAGGAGGCGAATGACTTTTCCAAGAGCCGGCGGGTCGCGCGCTAAAGCTGCCTTTGTGGCGCGTTGCAGAACTCTCAAAAGGGAAGCCACCAACTTGAAGAAGAAGAAGTGGGATGTCAAGGGGAAGATTGTGAACTTTTTCCGCAAGAAACCAGCACAGGAGGACGAAAAATCCCAGCCCCTAGAGAAGCAGGAGGTGGAGCTGGTGAAGGAAAGTGATGCTGAATAGCTGCAGCTGAACCAAATTGAATTTCAATAAACAAATTTCTGTGCTCGAATTTTCCTTTCAGTGAAACTCGCTGAGTATTTTCAGTGTATATTTTATCACAATATAATAAAATGGCAATTTTGCCAATGTTGAGTTATTTCCGGGCTTTCTAATTAGAAATCAAAATTAATTCCTGGGTTTCAGTCATTTATTGTCTCTATTTATCAATTAAAATACGTTTCGGTGTATTTTTCCACCATCATCAGTTTTTATGTGTAGCGTTGTTGCTGCTTTAAGCCTTGGCATACACTCGGAGTATTAATTTTGTCCATTTTGGACACAAAGCGCGTAAAATACTGTTTATATTGATTTCTTTTACTTTCAGCTATTTGTCTTTGCATTCTGAGAATATTATTTTTGGTTTGCAAAATTCTTCAATATACCGGCTGTTAGTTAATATTCTATTCTTCAATATTCTATGTTATTTCATTTAATTAATGTATGATATACTGAGCTAAGATTGTCGGTATCCGATCTGAAATTCATAGCATTGTTATGTTTTTTAATCTGTATCAT